AAAAATAACCCAACAAAATATAAGTGCAATGATATGAACTGTTTCGTCTTTTCCTTCTTACCTTCAAGGATTCATAAATAACCCAACAAAATTTTAAATGATGTTCAAATTTTCTGCAGATTCTCAGTTACTGGAGGACAAAGTGAACCAAATAAAGAAAGACCTTGAAGGACTTACTAATGTTGCACGGGTAAGAAGGGGATGGGTTAGATAAATACTGCATTAATGCTACACAGGCAATGATTAGCCTTACTCACGCGGCGGCCATGTTTCTTCTCATGAGAATAAAAACTTTTGTTTCACCATAGTTAATAGAGGGGAATGGTTAGGAAACTCTATTGTTATAGGTTATTATTATCACTTTTTTCAAGCGTGACCGTGCACAATCCTTTGTTTTACCATTGTTTTATCATTGTTGGCAATGGCTGAGTGAACAGACCAAAATCTTTCTTTTGGCAGCTAGTTCAAAATACTTAAAGATTTTAAAGAGATATTTGAATATTCCTTACAATAATCCCGTAGACAAAGTTTATGTTTACTTATTTTGCAATTTTGAATGAGCATAAATCAAACATATTGCACGGTCAAGACCGGTTCAACCTCACAAGCGAACAAAGACCTGATAACAATAGGTTTCCTAACCATTCCCCTCTATTAACTATGGTTTCACCTGCAAAAGATGCATGTCATCGGCGCGGTGGAATTTGTTGTTCAGACCAACATGGCTGCCGAGTGAAAGAAGGCCATGGGACGGATTATTAGGATGCAAGGAATGTACTTAATAATGATGCAGGGTATACATTCTTGAATATCATCCACAGGATCTTGCTCCCAAGGAAAAGGACAACGCAGAAGCCATTGGTTCTGAAGTAGACAAAGAAATCAATGCTACTGCAGAGGTACGCGATGAGCCAGTGAAAGAAGGAGTTCACTGTCATGTGCAAACCAGAAACTAATGGTGCCTTGACTCTATTCGTTCCTGCGATAGACGTTGTTCTTGGAGAAGCAACGTGTCATTCCCTAGAGTATCATTTCTTTGTTTAACGGTTGCACATGAGAAGACTCTATTCGTTGGTACAATTCTTGGAGAAGCAACGTTTTCCCATTTCAGACCACGTGTCATTCCCTAGAGTATCATTTCTTTGTTTAACGGTTGCACATGAGAAGACTATTCGTTGGTACAATTCTTGGAGAAGCAACGTTTTCCCATTTCAGACCACGTGTCATTCCCTAGAGTATCATTTCTTTGTTTAACGGTTGCACATGAGAAGACTATTCGTTGGTACAATTCTTGGAGAAGCAACGTTTTCCCATTTCAGACCACGTGTCATTCCCTAGAGTATCATTTCTTTGTTTAACGRTTGCACATGAGAAGACTCTATTCGTTGGTACAATGCTTGGAGAAGCAACGTTTTCCCATTTCAGACCACGTGTCATTCCCTAGAGTATCATTTCTTTGTTTGACGTTTGCGCATGAGAAAACATATGAATATTGATTAAACTCAAACAAAGAATCTTCTTCTCAAGGAATGACACGTGGTCTGTAATGGGAAAACATTACGCCCAAGGTAAAGAGGTCTATTCTTTGCTATGTTCTGACATTTCATTTATTCTCTTTTCCTCCACCTTTTTGCAGCTCGTAGCGGACGCAGCTCGTCGTATTGAGGTAAGATTGAGTTGTTTAATGGTTTTTTAGACAGGATTTTTATTGTGGATACTGCTTACTTCACTTTACAATGGTTTGCCTTGCGCTAGGAATATTCATTGCTTGGTTTCAATCAGTTAATAAAAGCCTTGGAATCTCATTATCTGCTCCAAATGGTGTCAAACACTGAGCACTATAAGCTGAAAATTTGCGATTGTGAACATTTTGCACGAGTACATGAAAGGAAAAGACGGAAAATGGGCTCAAAGAACACGAGAGTCGGCCACATGTTTGTAAGCTCTGCTATTCAGCGTCACCTTCTTAAAATAAAGTTTATTGATTGATTGATTATTGAATTGAGTCGCGACTGTGCGGTAGACGGAAAATAAAGAAACAAAATAAGGAATGTGGCGCTGAGGAAAAAAGAAGTTATTTGTCAGCTTCCCATGAACGAGTTTAATTATTGAAAAAAAAAAAAAAAGAAATTTTCATGTAATTTTTAAACTTTTTTAAATTTCCTTTAACAGGAAATGTTAAATAATACTCGAGAGAAGTATACTGGTGTTCAACTTGAGGTTCATGGAAGGTAGGTGTTTTTCGGTGCAGTTTTTTTGATACCGCGATTTTTGTTGATGATGCTGCTTCCTCTGGTGACGGGTGGTGATGCTGCTGTTGTGATTGTTGCTGCTGCTGCTGCTGTTGCTGCTGATGTTGTTGCTATTGTTGTTACTGTGGTTGCTGTTGAGACTAAGCTTGTTACTGGTGCTGTCGTTGCTTCGGTTTTGCTTCTGTTGTAGTTGCTGCGGTAGTTGTGGCGGCTACTGCTGCTATTGCTATTGTCGTAGTTGCTGCTGTCATTGTTACTTATCCTGCTGCTGCTGTTGTTGCTTTGTTGTTGTTGCTGCTGTTGTTGCTGCTGCTGTTGTTGTTGTTGTTGCTGCGGTTGCTATTTGTAGTTGCTGCTGCCGTTGTTGCTTATGTTGCTGTTGTTGTAGCTGCTGTTGTTGCCTCTATTAGTGTCGTACTGACCATAGTTTTTTCTCCTTAGAATCTTAGATTCATGCACATCATTGATGCAGGTAAGAAAACCTTTTTCATTTATATTAGTGACCATGCATAATATTAATAGTAATATTTTTAAAAACCTTTTGGAAGAAGCTGTTGTTGCCTCTATAAATGTTGTTCTGACCACTTTTCAAACTTTTGGAAGAGGCTTTTGTTGCCTCTATTAATGTTGTTCTGACCATAGTTTTTTCTCCTTAGAATCTTAGATTCAGGACTATACACTTCTTCCAACATATCTCATATCATTACTCTTGGTTTTTTAATAGGCCATTAAAGTGTTGATCATAAAATCCAAGAATCTCCAASAAGAGATAGTCGGGGAAGGCAAGGTCAGTTCGCGATCTGAATCCAACGCTTTCCAAATAACAAGAATTCATTTCAATTTTATCGAACCCTGAAACGCTTCCAGGCAAATCTAAGTAAGGGTAAGATACGGTAGGACTTCAGTACTGTTACGAATTGGCCGTATCGTTTTCCACTCACACTTGTGTCCGCACCTCAAGAGATAGAACACATGACCTTGGGTACTTAGGGGTACCTGTGCAACACTGCGCGCTACAACCTCGGTCCGTTTGAGTAGCTGAAGTCAACATCGCAACAATAATACACTTGTGCCCGCACCTCACGAGATAGAACACATGACCTTGGGTACTTAGGGGTACCTGTGCGACACGACAACCTCGGTCCGTTGGCGCAGCTGCAGTCAACATCGCAACATTAGAGAGTTTTAGATTGACTTTTTTTCTCCCCGCAAACGGCAAACGTGACCACGTTTTCATCGTTTTCCTGTACTTTACTTTACCTTTTACAAACCTTTTCACTAAAGACAAATATTGTTTTGTTTTTCTACTACTTGGACTTTTTTCCAATACTTTTTAAGCTATTTAAAATAATTTTTAAATGGTCAACTGACGTTTCACGTTTGCCGTGAACGTAAATCTAAAACTCCCTATTAATACACTTGTGCCCGCACCTCACGAGATGGAACATGACCTCGTGTATTTATCATTCTATTTCAAGCCAATCTATACGGTTTGAAATTATTTTGCTAATGGTAAGAAAAGAGCGGGAAACTTTGACTTCCGACAAATGGTACACGCGTCTACCGGAAGAACTGAAAAGGGCGGGAAAAGTGGATTATCTCAATCAGCGAAGACACATACCATTTGTTTTCCGACCGGAATTTCCGGTTTTTCCGGGCAAATGGTTAGTACCCCTTATATATGTTTGTTTTCTTCTTCAGGGCACTGCCACTGCTAGAGAATTCTATAAACGTCACCACAGATGGACAGAAGGTCTTCTTTCCGCTGCCAAAGCTGTTGGTTGGGGAGCCAAGGTCCTGGTGTAAGTATACAGACATTATGACAAACTGAGATGTCTTGTGAAAACCTAAAGGCTGGGTTTTCCTAAGAGCAGGTTTTGTTTTATATGAATGGAAAGTTTGCGGTCTAATCCGCAATATACGACCACCGTAGTATCACGGGCTCTTGTAAAATCACAAGTATAAGCCCTTCTCCCCGGTTATGCGCCGTCCTGTTGTTAACCCCACTAGTCCCTTAGTGTAAGCCCAGAGCTTATGACGAGGATTTTATGACGAGTGAGAAAAATAACAGCGGTCACGGAACGGAACTGAGGACGACAACTGAACTGACAACGCTCTTATTTTTTCTGGAACAATCAGAACGTTCTTATTTTTTCTGGACCAATCAAAACGCTCTTATTTTTTCTGGACCAATCAGAACGCTCTTATTTTTTTCTGGACCAATCAGAACGCTCTTATTTTTTCTGGACCAATCAGAATGCTCAGACACGGCACCGTCACGTCCACGGTACAGCAGTCTATTTTTTTCCACTGTCGTACTCATTCTGTTCCGTATGTTTTCCATCCTCGATAATCCCTAACAGGTAGCAAGAAACCATTCATGGTCTCTTGAGGTAGCTAATGATTTAACATTAATTTCTCATTTTAGGGATTCTGCAGATAAAGTCGTACAGGGTAAAGGAAAGTTCGAAGAATTAGTTGTGGCATCCAATGAAATCACTGCTAGCACAGCCCAGTTGGTAAGTGGGTTGTTTCGTCATCATAAAAGAGGTTTTGCACCATCACGTACGGCAGCCATGTTAGGTGGCAGGAACAATACAATCGTTTTACATAAGAAAGAATTCAACTCCCGAGAGCAAAGGGATTTTATTGTCCTGCTATCTATGGGCGTGGGCACGTGATGGCGCAAAAACTTTATTAGCTTATTCATTCTTCTATTATTGTTATCAATCTTTAGAAAGTTACATGGATAACGTCATGGGCTACCTGTGGTAAAGAAGGAACCGAATTCACAGCCCTTCTATTTGTTTCTACAATTATGTTAGGGATATTTGAGAATAAAATCCGGGATTTCACTTTCAGAGGTGGGTGGGTGTCGGTGGGTGAGTACCGGTGGGTTGGTACCGGTGGGTGGGTACGAGAAACGAGAAACGAGAAATGAGAAAGAAACGAGAAACCGGAAAGCCTGAAAAACCCGCCGAAGTCGGAAAAAGAACCAACCAACTCAGCCATCCTGACTTCCCTGAATGAGTATGACCAACCACCCTTGCCACGTTGGGTTACTAATCTTTCTTTCTGTACTCGGTGTTGTGTAGGTGGCAGCGTCAAGAGTGAAAGCTCATCATGGAAGCCCTAAGTTATCTTCATTACAAGTCGCTTCAAAAGACGGTAAGTTGAAAACCTGATTGCCGTACATAGCTGAGTGGTTGTTTCTATTTCTCTTGTTAATAAATATCCCAAATTTGAAAAAAAAACCAAAAACATAAAAACTAATTGCCAAATATATTTACGAAATAACAGCCCTTAAGAAAAGAAAGAATGGAAAAATAAGATGTATCCGGCATATTCACAATTACTTATGATATAATTATTTACAATATTTAAACTTTATTTGGAGTCAAATCGATGTACCACTCGTGTATAAGACCAATTAAAAAATATATTACTTACTTAGCGGGGACACAATAATTTGAAGGAAGATTCAGGGCGCAAGGTTCCGTAAAAACCTCTCATATTTAACGACCACTGATATTATCGCTCGCATTTTTAAGGCATTAGTTGGAAGAAGAGAGGTGCACGCCTACATGTGCCACTGTTATCGTCTTCTATTTATGTAGGAAGACTTAGGTTTGATGGCTTTATTTTATTACTCTCATAGTTGTTGAATCAGCTGCAAATGTTGTTGCGTCAGTCAAAACTGGAGCGGAAATGATCGAGGACAGCAGTAAGTATTAATCTGTCATACCCCCGTTTCTTTTGAGAAGGTGATGGTGTAGGGTGTGTAGAGAGTATCTGAGTCTTAGGATCATGGTGTGTCAGTGAGAGGTAAGGTGTGGACGTCTGGGATAGAGTAAGGGGAAAGGTGGAGGTTTGGAAGAGATTGATCTAAGAAAGAGTGCAGCTTAAGGAGGAAGTTGACTGGTATCCCTCGCAACTGCTGTCAGTGTCGTCACGCAAAGATTTCTCCCCTGAGAGTGAGAAAGCGTTGCGTGACGACACTAATAGCGACTGCATGGGAGACTAGAACATGACTGGCCCAAAAGTGTTATATACACTAGCCAGAAGAGCTTGACTCAGCATTTTCTCTTTTAATCATACAGAGACTGTCCCTGACTACTCCAAGTTAACGCTAACGCAAACCAAACGAATGGAGATGGACTCCCAGGTTCGTTTGTTAGAGCTGGAAAGCAGCCTGACGAAAGAAAGAGAAAAACTTGGCCAATTAAGACGAATACACTATCAACTCGCTGCTGCAGAGGAGGAAACTGAAGCACAATAACAGGTAAAGCAGGTTTAGACCAGCCAGGTCTGAGGTTTGTGGCATAAGATTAATATAATTATAGTTCTTGAAATAGGCGTTTTGGGGTACTTTGGCGCAAGGTGGAAGTTAAATCAGTGAGGAAAAAAATTTTAGCTTTATTTTTTGTGAGCAGTTGGTCCCGGAAATGCGTCACAACTAAAAAGCTCATTAAGGAATTTCTATGTGGTACTGCAGCCATACATTTGATTCCTCTCTACTTTTATTTTGACTCTCGTAGTGTGTCTGTTCATTAAGGTGAGCTCTACCAGCCACTCGTAGAGTGTCAAAACACAATGACATGGCGGCCATGTTGGTGGTATAAAGGACCAACACGGTGACGATGTCTTAACTTTCAAACTATCTGTATTGAGCGCCCGCATCCAATCCGGGTGGGGGTATTGGTGGGGGAGAAAGGACAACTATTTTCCCAGGAGGTCCTTGTCTCTCGTTGCCTCAGTCACTTCATACCACAGAAATCGAAGACACAAGCATCCCTCAAGTGATCAAACGCACACCCTTCTTATGATTTCGATAGTGCAGACTTTCCCTTCAATAACAATTTTTTCCATTTTGTAAAGCTATTTTTCTCAACTAACAGGAAAAGGAAAGTGCAGAACGTTTCAAGTAAAATTAACAAGTCAAGATTTTTTCTGGAGAGAGGATAAAATCATGTATCATACAGACACACTGGTGGTTGTACTGGTGATTCCTTGAATCAAGAAAAAATGACAGAAAAACTCAAATATTATTTTAAGATAGGAATGGAAGAAATGATCATATTTGGTTTAAATGATAGAATTCTCGTTCGTTCAATAATAACTTCTTGGTTCTGTCGTCAATACTTTTAAGACTAATTGCTTGTCTTACAGCTGTAACGTTGTAAAACCCTATGAGAATATTCGCGGTACTTTCTGTCTACCGAGTAGCCTGCGTTGCGTTCGGAATTTTCTTTGTTAAGTCCGTGGACTTTACGAACAAAATTCCAGATGCAATGCAGACTAGCACCCGAGGTGAAGTAATAACTACTCTTACTACCGCTGAACGCAGGTTATTCAGTCGTAGCTTTAAGAGCGAGACTAGTTTTTCAAAAAGATTTTCGCAAAGGCAAGTAAGGCTAAAACAGAAGTTAAGCGGCTGATACATGACAAACATTTCAGTAGGTTACCCTACTGCTAAGGTTAAGCTTGGTATTTTGAGTGTCAAACAAGAGATTAATGATGTGTCTAAAAGAACTATCACAAGGGTCACCAATGCAACCTTCAGGAGCTCAAATTTGCGTAGCGAGGGTAGTTTCACCGTGCCACACTCACTCGTGAAACCTTTCGCGCGCATATATCACTTCAGTCATAAATTGGCCATTCCAAGGTTGAGGGAAAACTGGGTCGAGTTGGCATTTTGGGACGGTTTTAGGGGACCAAAAAGACGCTACCTTGGAAATATTGCCCCTTAAACACCCCACGATGTACTGCAATACCAACTTCAACCAGTTTTTTCTCATCTTCGGAGTGGCTATTGAAACGGCCACTGAGGTCTCGGGTTGAGCCTTTAAGACTGTCAGCGGGTTTTGAAGTGAGACTGAAAAATTGGGTAATTATATATGAAAAGGGACAAGGCCGGGTTACGTAAAAATCGTTTTAGAAAAAGGTGCCTTACAATCAATCTTTCGTGGTGAATAGAGGCTTTGCAGCATCACGTGATGGCTGCCATGACAGGAGGCAGGAACAATTGAAACTGGTCTAATCTGATTTACTTAAAGTGTATATCAGGTCTAGAATTTTTTTACGGTTTTGTCATCTCTAGATGATATAGATAAATATTCCAAAAAAAATTTTTCGATTTCGAATTTTTTTCACCTCGAAATCAGCCTTCAAAGTTAGATTTCTGGCGACGCCCAGTCGTGTTGG